CGCTGCCGCTGCGTGCGCATGGTCTGGAGACGCTTCGGGCGCTCGCAGCGGCGTCGGCGAACACGGCTGAGCGCCGCGTCCAGAAGAAGGACATCCAGTTCGACGCCGGGCGCAGCTCGTGGCAGACCCTCTTCGACCCGAGCAAGTCCGGCTCCCTCGTGGCGCGCGGCTACGCAGCGGGGGGCGGCGCCTCCGGCCCCGATCGAGGCCGCTACTGGATCACGGCCGCGGGGCTCGAGTACCTCGCGGCCGTGGACCGCGCCGCCGTCGCCGACGCCGACGCCGACGAGGATCTGGACCTAGTCGACGCCGCCGCTGCCGACGACGATGACCATGGTGATGCCCCTGCCCCTGCCCCTGCCGCTCGTCGAAGCTCGGATGGTCCGGAAGACGGGCGTCGAGCTCGACGACGCGGGAGACGCGCCGGCGCCCGCCGACAAGCCCAGGACGGGCCTGTCGGCGGCCTTTGCCGCCGTCGACGGACGCCTCGTCGTGCTGTCCGAGGCCGAGAACGCCAAGACCGTCGCCGCGTGCGACGGGTGACTCCGCGCTCGCCGTCTTCTCCCGCCCCGCGCGTCCCGCGCCACAGAGCACCTCGCGACGATCTTTTAGCAGAAACGCATAAAAAGAGGCGAGATCGACGAGGAATCGGGGTGTTTCGACGGGACAACGGTCCTTTAAACGCGGCTATGGTTTACCCCAAAATCGGGGTCTGCTGGAGGTCCCTCCGCGTGGCGGGAGCCCGTCGAATTTAATTGGCACTTTTTTCTGTGATTTGTTTTCGTCCTTGTATTTTACCCGGAGATTACCCTGGCGGCTATAGCCAGCAGCAGCAAAGGCAACTTGAAAGCCATGCTGCGCAAACGTCCACGGCAATCGAACCGATACTTTTTTGAAGCGCAGACGCGTCTCGGACCTTCGTGGCACGTCGCCACCGGAGGCGTATAGTACCGTCGTTGGGCCACTAAAGCGGACCTCGCTATAGGCGACTTATAGTGGCTCGCTGCGCTCTCTCGGGTCCCGGTATCGACGGAAGTTCACCAACTTCGCGGAGCTCGGCTGTGCTGGTGATGGGCAGGACTACGGCCTGAATTTGGAGAGAAGCGGCTTGCGCCCAACATTCTTCCTCGCAACACCAAGTGCACAATCGTGGCACCTCGAAGCAAATTTCAGGGAGCAGATCGTCTCATTTGCATTTGCTATCTCTGGTGAAGCTGTGACGATCATGAGCGCCTTTGAATCCCCTGCAAGTGAATCTTGCAGGAGGTAAGTCAGCTTGGAGTTGCGAAAGGGAACATGAACCTTTTTTTCGCTGCTTAACGCTGCGATCACGTCGCCCAAAGCAGAGAGGGACTTATTGATGGCCTTCGCCTCTGTGAGACGGTCACCTGCAACGCGGGGCTTTGTGAGCCAGATCTGGCAATTTTGCGGACCTGTAGCGCCAGTTTTGTCAAGCCGTTCACTCCCGGCAAGGTCAACAAGGTTAAGCTTGGAGCGCAGGATGTCACCGGATGGCATCGTCCCCTTGATATAGAGAGTGACTATTGAGTGGCTTCTAGATGAATCCTTGTTCAGGGCGTGCGCACCGGCGGCCCGGTGGGAGGCACCACGCGCGATCCAGACTTCAATCTCTTCCATGGTCGACACTCTCTTGATGTCGAGGCCTTTGACTATGGACACACCAGTTGCAGTTGTTATATCGAGTCTGGGTGATTCGCTACCGGGTTTTCGGAGAAGATCTCGGATGGCCTCATTGTAGATCTCAAGCATAGAGAGCTCAAGATCATAGACGAGCCCATTGCTATGTGTCTTAGCTGTGTTTATAATCGCCTCAATTGCTCTAAAGTTGACGCCCCGATCGTCAGGTGAACCTTCCATCGTGTGCGTTTTCCCAGATCCCGTTTGTCCGTAGGCAAAAATGCACACGCTGTAGCCGTCAAGTGCAGAGGTGACCTATGGGTTTTCGCAACTCAGTTGCAAGGGTGTCAATGGAAGCGTTTGAAATCGGCGCGTACGACCGACTCGGCGTGATGGCAAGGTCGCGGACAGACTCGAAGACAGTGGTCTGGGAGGCACTTGGTGAGAACACACCGTCGAACTCAAAATCGTAGTCGTCGCCTTCGTGGTCGGGCCGCGTGATGCGAATCACTCCATCTTCTGGGAACTTGGCCGCAGTGATTGAGGCGTCCAGATCGCCCCTAGACGGCCGACAGCGGCACAGAACACGAATGTTACCTTGAAGCTCCATGACGCGATTATGCAATGCCCGTCGCATGTGTCTCTCACGCTCGACCTTGTCTTGGGCAATACGTGTTTCAGATTCTGCAGCAGCGATACGAGACTCACTTTCGTATTTGTTTGCCAGTCTGGCAGCTTCCACCGCGAGGGCAATAGCGGAATCAATGCGCTGTGCCTCATCTGCTGACGTTGCAGTCACAAGCGCTTCGAGCGTTTCAAGCCTGGCTTTGGCGGCAGCGAATGCGGCATCGGCTGCACGGTGCGAGTCCATGGACTGTGCGAGTGCTGACAGTGAGGTGCAATTCACCTTCACTGATGCCAAGGACTGCGCCCTGCCTTCCATCTCCTCGAGGCGAGTTGTGGCTACCGTGAGAGCGGCCTGTGCATTATCAGCACGTGCTTCTGCGCCAGCGACAGCGGCCAAAGCGCCCTGGAGCTGATGCTCCGAGTTTTGAAGAAGAGGATGGAGCTCAGTGTCGTTAGCTATGCCCGACATCCCACCCCTGGGTCCAAGCGCATAACCACCTGTACGCGACATGAATTCCCAACTAGATCCTGAACGCTTTGCGCGGACAGAGCACCAGTATGTACCTTCTTCCTCGCGTCGACAAGCTCGAGTTCAAGCTCAAAGTTACGTGCTTTGGCTGCACGGACTGCTGCAAAGAGGCGTGCTGAGTCGACTGCAACCTATATGTGATAGTCAATGCCTCCCAAACGGCAAATCACGTGCCATTGACCCGGTATCTCTCGTTTGCTGCGGCCCACGTCAAGTAGCATTTTTGGAGGGGGAGAAAAATACAGTCGGACGTTGATGACAGACGGCGCCTGATGCAACGAGGTCCGATACCTTGGTATCGTCTGCCTCTGTTAGTGACATGATTTGAGCCTCGAATATCTGGAGCTTGGCACGCTGCTCTTCGTCGCGTACCAAAAGCTCTGCGATTTGCTGGGCATCTTCGTCTGCCTGACGTGCTGCCTCACGAGACAACTTGCCATACTCATCGACGAGACTATCAATTGTCGACGACTCCGTGAGCGCGAGACTAAGCTTCTCACTGGTCTCCTTACTTGTTGCCCGTTCCTCTTCCAACGAATGTTCCAGGGCCACGACCATACATCGCAGCTTGGCGACCTTCCCGCGCAACGACTCACAGCTCTCGTAAGACTCGAGTTTCACTTCTTCTTCTTCTGAGATCAATACGGGACGCAGTGTCGCGCCCTCGACGGATTCGTCCGTGGATATCTCGTCGTTCAGCTGCTCGTCAAGGCTGCTTAGGATTGCAGACCCGCGAGAGACTGCCTTGCCGAGAACTGATCGAATCATTGTGTCAGCTCGAAGCCAAGTCGTTAGCCAGCTCACCAGTGTGGTGTCCCAAAGCAGTGATTGTAGGTGGTGCTCATAAAATCAAGTTGCGTTTCACATGACATTGTTAGCTCTACGATATCAATTAAATAAAACAAGCCGGCCTATGGCCGGCTAGCAAGGACGAATCAGAATTTGTTTCCGTCCACTTGGCCTTTCGTATCTCCCACTAGCCTGAGTTAACGGAAGCAGAGTAAACTCCCCCCTCGTGGGGGAGGCTGAGCTCAATTCAGTTAAGAGTGCCAGAATGAAGGCCGACGGGGCGCAGCGGGGATGGACATAGCACTCTCGTCAAGAACCGAGGTAATGTCAAACTAAAATCATAAGCTACTTATGATTCGTCGAGAGACGTCGAGTATAGCCGCAGCACTGTAAGTTCTAGTAATTCTCTAGACATGTTTTTTTAATTTCGATGAAACGCGAAATCGACAAAGATCCTGGATAATTGACGCTCGAAAGACGGGACGATGGAGATCAATTCACTACTTATGCCGCTCCTAGCGCCGCGCGACTATCCCGGCGTGCATGGACCCCGCGGCAAGTCTTGGGAGGCACAACGAGAGCTTTCTCTCGGAGGAGACGCGACGCGCAACAGATTGCGTCAGGCTGAGAACGGGTGGTTTTGAGGGGTAAAATGAGTCGCGCGCCCCCGGCTAGACTCGATTTTTGCGCTCTTGGGCGCAGCTCAGCGTCGGAGATCGTTCATAGACACCCCGCGCGGCTCTGGTCGCGCGGGCTCGTTCACTGAGTCGAAGGTCGTTCATTGCTGGTGTTCGAGGCGGAAGCGCCGCCGCCGTAAAACGTCGTTCCGGATGCTCGAGAACGGGTTTTGCGTTGAAACCGAACCGCTTCGCGACCAGCGCGTTCCACGCGATGTGGACGGCAGTTCCCGCGCGAAGCGGTTCGGTTTCAATGAAATTTGACACCGGCTGGGTGCCCCCGTTTCGTCGAACTTCGGCGCCGCCGTACCAGATGAAAGCACGTCCAAGAGAACCGCGCCGTCGTCGCAGCCCCCCCGCGACACACCTCTGCAGGCCCGTGCGCGAGGGCCACTCCACCACCGCCCCTGAACTTCGACCACGCGCTGGTCCTTTGTCCCGAAAATCATCCCATCGGGGCGGCTGAAATCGACTCCGCGTTTCATGCAACGAGCTCAATCAAGCCATTCTAGGCATACTAGAACTTACAGTGCTGCGGCTATAATACTTGGCCACCTTGTTAAACGTGCGTCCTTTGTTACAGGTAGTGAAGTGTCTGATGACCTTGTTGGAGAGGAACTCACTGCTTACCTTACAGCCACTCTGGAAGGACAAGATGCAGGCTGCTTCGCCAGCCTTGCAACTCAAGACGATCCGGATTTTGGGCCAGGGGAGGAATCGATTCAGGATCCCCGTCAATTTCATCATCACTTTTTAGCACGCTTTCAGGCTTTATAACATCTGGACTCCTCAAATGGGCTAGCATCCTATTTCCAGTGAACCTCCTGCTACTCGATATGAGCCCAAAAATAAGCCGCGCCACCCCGGACCCCGGGGAAGCGGCGAGCTGGGAGAGGACCACCACGGCCAGCAGCTTTATTTTGCTGGATGATGATAGGTGGTCTAAACTCACTAACTCGTTACCGGAAACATACTGTACTGCCGTAAATGCAATTTTCGTCAGCATTCAGCACCAGCATAGTAAAGCATGAGCATAGCCAGCATAAGGCAGACTTAGCATAGCCAGCATAGGCCAATATGAGCGTCCCAGCATAGGGAGGATAGCATAGTCCCGAGTTAGAGTAGCATAGCCCAAGG